TAGATTTTTTTCAGTTTCTGAAATACTGTTGCAGTGTCTTCTTACAATCTGTTCAATTACAGAGTGCATTGAATGCATTAAGTGCACATAGGGTGGATTTAAATGTTAAAACATCGGAAACGTGCGAGGGACTGATGAAAAAAGAAAAGAAATGTCGAAACGTTTGTTTATGCTTATTGTCTATTTTATTGTCCACATTGTCATCTTTTAATATTATCCGTATCGTGTATTTGACGAAGATACTGTTCAAAAGGTTAGTCACTCGCAGCAATGCAAACATTAGATCATTGTTCTGGTGATGTTTGATGGTTTGCAACTACTGTTTGGCTCCTCTTAAGTTACTCTCTCGAATTGATTGACATTGAACAAACTTAGTGAATAAAATTAAAACCTTTTTGTTTCGTTTTTTACGATTTTCTCTAAGGGACTTCTCATCGAGCCCAAAGTTTTGTACTCTGTACTCTACTTATATCGTGTCTCATTACAGTTTCAGTGAAAGCTCGAAGTGTTTCTAATTCTCATAAATATTCAAACAGTTCCACTGAGTGGAAAACACATCGTCAAAGTTCGGAGCATTATTTGAAGCAAAATTACAGCATACATTGAAAAAAATACATTCCAGAAAAATTTATTTCAATAATATTCGTTCGTTAAAATAAATTCATTTGTAACTGAAAATACCTTTTACTTTCTTTAACAATATTGTTCATCATCATCGTGTAATAAAATTTAACATTTTTGTCGTTGTATTTACATATCTCAATGTGTCAATAAATGAACTTGTACCATTTCTCTTTTCACAAAAAAAAAGTCTCGTATAACTAGCATTCGATCTTAGCGAGAAGGATTTTTGTTATACTCGAATTGGTAGTCTTACAGTCGGTCTATGATCGTGTTTTCGAAGGTAATTATTGTATCTGGAAATGTAGTCCTAGAATAAATATAGAGTGGGCCAAAAGCTTCTTCCCACCTATTTTCTTTTTTCTAACGAAACATCAAAATATAATAAAAAAAACTAATTTGATTAATTTTAAATTAAATTTAAGTTCAAATACAGTTTCTTCCATTACGTTTAAAAAATCATTTCTTATAATAAAATAAAAAAATTACGGATTTATTTTTGGCCTTATCTATACATACACGTTTCTCACAATATATTTCTATTTCAATCCTTCAATCCAAAGTCAGTTTCTTCGGAAAAACCAAACTAAAAAATTAAAAACTAAAGAGCCAACAGACACTGTGTACTACGAAAAAAAAAAAAAAAAAAAAACAATAATGGGGAGAGATTTTTCGCGATCCAGAGGGGTGGTGTGTGAAACCTAACCCCCAAAAGCGTCTGGATACGCGCTAAACGTTTAATCCGTTGGCGGCACGACGCAGTAAATCACAGTTCTCCGGAGAGGTTCGATAGTTCCCGCGGGAGGCGTTCGCCGGGACAGCCTCGGGTATCAATTCCTGACTTACGCGTTAATCGAGCTGGACGGTTGCCAGGAAAATCGGTGGAAACCGGTGACGTGTACGCGTCTCGGGTAAACGGGTCACGTGCTCGTTGACGAGAGTTGCTCGCCGCGCGCAAGGGAGCAACCGGGGGCAAAGGTAACGCGAGGAAAAGTGACCCACTGACACGGTCCAGAAACCAACCGGGATCGGCTCTCGGCTTTCCACCCCTCTCTCTCTCTCTCTCTCCCTCTCTTTCTTTTTCTCCTGGCTTCTGTTCGATCCGCTGGGAGAGAGAATCGCGGATAAGAATGCCTCCGATACGCCGCCCGGAAAGATACAGAGTGGAGGAGAGGGCGACCGTTTCAACGTCGAGCGGCTGCTTTGTACGTGTATGTAAAAGAGCCGTCTTTCAGAAGGCGACGAGAGTACTTTTCCCTTTTTCCTTTCCTTTCTTTCTTCTTTTTTTTCTTTTTTTTTTTCCACACGTTTCGGCTGAACCTTTTGAGAGGGTAGCCCGGGCGAGACTGAGACGCGCGCGCCAGCCATTTGAAAGACGCGTTGGTCTACCCGTTGAGACTTTTTTTTTTTTTTTTTCGTTTAAATTTCGCGAAAATTACGAAAGCTTGGCGGAGAGATAGAAGATAATGCGAACTTTTCGAATTTCGATTTTGGAACTTGGAATTGCACTGGCTATCTGAGTAAACTCGAAAGTACAGAAAGCCTGGTTATCGTTGATCCTAAAAATTTACAACATACGTATGACACAAAATAATATTTTGTATATAAATAATAATGTACATAAAATCAAAATAATGTACAATAAATGCAGAAAATGTCCGAAACGGAGCACGAATACAATTCTTTTGGAATTTCGCGAAAATTATGAAAGTTTGGCGAAAGATGTAACGACGACAAGATAATGCGAATTTTTGGAATTTAGAATTTGGAATATAGAACAGTGCAAACTCGAAAGCCAGTGGGACGTTTACGCTGATATCGTCGATTCTAGAAATGTACAACATATGTACGACACAAAATAATATTTTATATATAAATAATATATATAATATATTATATATATTATTTTGATTATAAATATATAATCAAAGAAATATACAATAAACGCAGAAAATGTCCTAGACTCATATTTAATAAAAATTACACTCACCGCCAATCTGTTTCGCGTAACTCGAGAATCGAATGCATATATATATATATATATATATATATATATATATATATATAATCAAAATAACAAACAATAAAACCAGAAAATGTCCTAGACTCATATTGAATAAAAATTACACTCGCCGCCAATCTGTTTCGCGTAACTCGAGAATCGAATGCCAGTCGCGCGACAGAGAGAATTGAGAGATTAATAAAAATCGGGACGGACCTGCCCTGTCTGTTCTCTGATTAGCGGACAATGAAGAGAGGAACCGTCGCATCGGACTGTTGGACTGATGAAAATGATCGGCGCGCGGTCGACCGGGACAAGTTGTGATTGTTCTCGCCACGTTTGGGCCAGATAGGTAAGTGCCGATTGAATCGGGCACCGGGGCTTCGGCTGGTAAAATTCGCGTGGAAAACCGCTTTGATCTGACTGCCACGAGGACGCGCAGTGTTGCAGGTTGAAAACGGTGGCGGCACGTGACGCGCAGATTAATCGGCACGATCTCGCGTACATCGTTAGGTACATTTGCCCGGCCGCTTTCCACTCATGTCGCGTTTTTGACGAACTAATACGATCAATCAAAATCCTTCGATGGCCCGATGGTCGATTTGTACGATTTTTTTCTGTTTTCGCCCATCGGCGCTGAATGATCGCCCTGTTGCGCTCCCTCCCCACCGTGTGTGTGTCAGTTTGTGTGTTTGTCTGACGATACGGACGAATCGATTGTCAGAAAAGTAAAAAAAAAAAAAAAAAAGAAGAGACGAAAAATTGAAAGTGATGGTGTTGTCCCGGTGTTCATCGTTGAGCTAGAATAGGCCTTTGATTAGTGGCGAAATGTTCAAAGCTGAATGTACATACATACGGGGAGAATTAAAAGAAAAAAAAAAGAAAAGAATGGAGATGGGCTTTATGGGTTTGGTAACGGGAGATTGTACCGGGGTAATCAAAATTTCGAATCGTTGGAAAGTGGTACGTTTTCCACGTTCTCCTTTGCGTAGCTCTTTTCTGGAGGGAGAATTGTGCGAATTTTAAATAGTTGACGGCAGAAGACTCGAAATCAACGATCCTATTACACCATTACATAGTGCCATTCAATTAGCCAGGTGAAGGGACACTGTACATTTTAAAAGTCGAGTAGTAACTAATTTTCAGACGTTTTCACTAACCAGAATGATTTAATTCTAACTTGTCCAAATGAATATCCTAGTAAAAACGTACAAAGCCTTCTTACACACAAACACACATATACACACAAAAGGGAAAGTAACAAGCTGAATATCAACGATAGTATCACAGCGAATCTTACAAAGAAAATCTGAATTTCAAGATATTACGTAGTACAAAATGCACAGATACTTTCGCGTGCTATAGAACGTATCATCTCGTCCCACGAGCGATTCGTAATTGCGGGCCCTTTCTCCGTGGACGTTTTCCCTTTGGTAATTAGCGTAACGATGCTCAATGTCGCAGCAGTGGAACGAATCCCCCACCGTCAAGGCTAACGTTGCTGCAAATGCTCGATTCCGGGACAAAGCAAGCGCGGCACCCTCTTGGCCAGACGCCTCGATTCGTCGAGGGGGAGCAGGGAGAGATTACGATCCAGGGATGCGCGTCCCTGGCGCAAGTTTTAATAGAAGACACGTGAAAATCGTTCCCCCGGGTGTGCACGCCATTAACGCGCGTGAACTCTCGAGTGTTGGCATCACCGCCGGGGCTTGCACGAGAACGTGTGCCGCGTTAACGAGACGGCCCGATACTACATACCATCGATTAACGCGCTCGTGGAGAACAAAAGGACCAACGACAGAGATGAGTTCCGTCGTAGATCTTTGAACAAATTGGGAATTAGCACGCATAGTTGGGTATCGCTGCGTGGAAAGATCCGAGGCTTCAATTTGAGTTTAATACAGTTTAGTTCTTGGCAAGGGGAGTCTCAAAGTCCCGAGCGTGTGAGGTAAAGAGGGCTGACGCGAGCGAAATTGTCGATTCGCGTAATTTCTCGCGGAAATTGGTTAATTTTCGTATCACCGGGGAAGTTGCGTCTCGTGCCGGGACCAAAACGATTTTTCAGTTTTCCTCGTTAGTTCGACTGTTCGGTACATTGTACGAATTTTTGTACTTTCAGCCCTTTGTTTTATAACATCGGTCGCAGTTGTCGTGGTTCCGATGCCTTTTTTCAGAAAAGGAAATTGCAATGTATCCGTTTCTTCGAATTGACAAATTAACAAGTATAAACTACAAGTAACGATATTTTGTATCTGAAACAATGCTACAGTCTAAGTATAGAATACCGGAAAGAATATTGTAAGACAACGGATCGAAGCCCGAAATATCCGAGTGTATATAGTAGCTGATTATGAAAGATTTCTTTTCTTTTTTTCAGAAAAAGAATCTGTCTACGACTGGATGAAATCGCGCTGGTGAATGGTCAAGCGTAGACACGTGCGTAAGTATTTGAGAATGAATAACGTGGGTTGCACGATTGTCTCGAAGGCATGCGTGTCACGTGAATTAATTACAATTGATTAAAGCGCTTGATTATCAAACAACCGCCGATATGGCGAGCGTTTATTTGATGCTAATGTCGCGGCTGTCGTAGACCTTTGTCATTCATAATTTCAACCTGACGTGGATTAACTTGGGCGGTGGTTCTATTAAAAAGAGAAAAGCATCAGTCGTATAGTTGAACGTTGAACTGATAAAATCTCATCCAGCTTCCTTAAGGGGGCAGGACAGTTTGACGGGCCGAAAAATTACGAATACTTTGGAGGGCTAGTAAAAACAAAAGTATATATTTGATTTTGACATGAGTTTCTGTGGTTTATTTCAACACATTATAAACTATAAAAAGCAACATTGAAAAAGAAAAAAAGAGGGCCCTTATTTAACTTTCTAACTTTTTTCATAACTTTTTTTTACATTGCCTATCGGTGTGCATGATTCCAGCCAAGCAGGATTAGCTGCGACAAAGAGGCAAAAAAAGTTTAAAGTAAACAATATTCTCTAGGGATTGACGATCCCATATTTTCATTTTTGTGAAAAAAATGAAAATAGCAGCTATTTGTTTTTGATGTATCGAGTTTATGCCAAAAATTTCTACGTTTTCTGTTTATATTTTTCGAAATTGTTAAAAAATAGAAAATGCTCGATCGTCAATCCCTAGTAAATGTTACGCTAAAGATACGTACCAAGTTTCACAGTAATCGGTTGGTTAGATTCCGAGATATCTTGCACATTTCTAAAAAGCTAGTTTCGAGAAAAACGCGTTTAAAGTTTCAGAACGTCAGATTTCATATGTATCCTCTACTTACTTTTTTTTACTTATATATCGCGGTTTACAGTTCTTACAATTCACAACTTAATTGAATCCAAGTCCCCTAATATTCGATTCCACCAAAAGTAATATTTGAATCACACGATTTACACTTTGTAACACTGCTTTAAAGTTGCCAACAGTGATACAAATTCAATTATTCTGTATCCGCGGATTTATGATTACACCCCAAAATAAGTCGTTTTAAAGGCTAGGACCTTTTGTATCTTATTTCTAAGACTTCAAACTATTATTTAAGATAACAACAAAACAATCGATTTTTTGAAAATTTCAAACTGTCCTGACCCAGAATTTAATCCTCCAGATTAAATTCTTTACATTTACTCTTCATCTTTTTTTTTTTTTTTTTTTTTTTTTTTTTTATCAAACGAAACAAACTTCTATCCAGACACCGTTCCTTTGCCTTTGGAGATCGTAAAGGTTGGCAGAAAGTTCCAAGTAACGCGAGGAGAATCACCATTGTGATCCGTCCGTAAATTGCCTCTGCGATTTTTACGCGTAATAACGAAATAAGTTACGAAGTAAGGTTAACGTTTCACGTTGTGCATCCGGCTTCGTGCCGCGGCCGGATGTAAAATATCCAGGCGCAATTTGTATTTGTAATCCTCGGTGCTTAAGAATTGAAACCAGAGTCGGAGTTTAAATTAAACTTCATTGCGAATGCAGTAGTTTTAGTTGAACCTGCAGCCGTAATCCGCGGTACAGAACGTGACTGAATAGCACGAGGCAAGGGGATTAAGAATCGCGGTATTTAGCCGGAAGTTAGCGCGGATGATTGTCATCTTCAATTTAAAAGCGATCGACTTTCGCGGGCCATTGTTACGAAATCGTTATTACCCGAGATTCCAGCCGATGTTGGAATTTTAATCCCGTGACTCTTTTTTTCCTCGTCAAGTGTCTTTCGACGTTCGAAAATCGATTTTGCCAGCTCCTTCGAAAAAGGAAGGAGAAAGAGAGAGAGAGGAAAGTTCCAGAAGACGTAATCAGAAATCGAGCGCTTCGAAAACACTCAAGAAAGCCGCACAAACGAGGGAAATTTTCAAAGAACACTCAAGCTTCTATCGCCGAGAGCTCGAATCGATAAAGGCGATCGACTTCCGTGTTTACCGCCTCATCGAAATCATTACGCGCTCGTTGTTGACCTATTCGACGAACTTCCGACGGTCATTTCCCTGGGTTCTCTCGATCGATAGCCTCGATCCTTTTCTCCCGAGTCTCTCTCTTTCCATCTTGATCTTCTCTTTTCCCTGGGGAGCTCTCTGGTCTTCCGGGTTTGCTCATTTCCACTCGTTCTCCTTTCTTTTTGCCTCCGTATGTGCGCGAAACCGGACTAGTTCTATCTCTTGGCTCTCGGTGTATGTGTGTACGTATAGGGTGTCCCGCGGCTCGTGGTCAACCGACTGGGTGGTGATTCTACAACGTAAAAACGCGCCGAGAAGGAAGAGTAAAACTTTTTCGTTCGGAATCTCGTGAGCGAATCGAGTTTGAAAATTCAACGAGTATGTTTAAATTCAGCCAATTCGCGACACAGGGAAATAATTATTCCACGTACGAAAAATAAATGAAACAGAGTGGAGTAAAATTTTTAAGACGCCCGTTTTCGAGATGATTCGAAGATACGTAATTTTTACGTAATTTATACAATAGCTCAAGATTTATTTACACGAAAGCGACGCCTTGAACGAAACAATTTAAAATAACATTCTCTTGTCGATTATTCGCGCCTTTTTTTGGAATTAGCCAAAATTAAGCACCTACAGTTGATGAAATTTCAAACTCGATTCAATGAGAAAAAAAAAAAAAAAGAAGAAAAAAACATTTCGTTCTTTCGTTTCGACACGTTTCTTTTTTACACGTCAGTCGGTTGACCACGAGTCAAGCGGACCACCCCGTATATTCTCGGCGTTGGCATCGATCAGCGGCCACTTTATCACGGTGAAACGTGCACGCTACGCTTTATCGCCGAACCGCATTATGGCGATACGTCAGCGCGCGGTTTTGCCGGCATCAATTGCCATTCAGATCGTCGCCGGATCGCCGATGACTGTCGCTGCTGATGACGCTGAAAAGCCGCCAGCTGCTGGATCTTTTCGTTTCTCCCGATCGATTCGACTATCATTATGTACTCACGTACATGCAATAGGATGATGGGCCTAATGGGATTAGCCAGACGTAGAAAACGCAAACGAAATTATTTTCCACTTCTCCACGAGTGTCAAAGCGCGATTCAACCGTGTTTTCATCTAGCACTGGAGATCGCGTTCTTTGTTGGCGAGTATCGTCATCCCAATGAATATTTCATTCGTTTCGCTTCTCGTCCTGAAAAATCTCCCTTCGTTTGGGCGAGTTGGCCGGATGTCCAACGAACTTTGAGATTTCAACCTTCGATTAAACGTCCCGTTATTATTTGATTCGGTATATTTGCTTTGTAGGTAAGTTGAGAAATTTAGTAAACATACCGGGGGAATGTACATTTTCTTTTTTTCGAAATTTTTGAGAACGCGCGGAACGCACATATTCAACGCCAGGACCATAATGCGTAGCGTGAGATTGATCGAGGGTGCTTTGAACATCAAAATTGCACTCGAGCAATGTGAAAAATGAAAAATTCGTACGTTCTTTTCAATTTGTGTCAATTTCAACGAGTAGTTGCATCCCACAGCGAGAAGATTAAATATCTCGTGCGGCAGTAGTACGGATCAACGATTGATTCACCGTCCATCGTTTTCCTCGTAAGAGTCTCAGAAAATAAAATACTCGTTCGTGCCGTTGATCGATTATAAAAATCATTTCGCCAACAATCGTCTCGGAAAGGAGGAAACAGCGAAAGAAAAGAAAAGAAAATGTTTCCATTGCAAGTAGTACAAGTCAATGATTCACCGTTTACTCTCATCCTTGGCGAAATTCTGAACTAGATCAATTCATCTTCTAATTTTTTCACGCGTGAATCGATCAATAAAATGATGCACAAAAACTGCCCCATGAAGTGCAAATAATCCATCGTTGATATAAAGTAGGGATCTGTTTTTTCCCGTGAAATTTATATTTTCCGAAAAATCTCGCGTTTCATCGATCGAATCTCGAAACTAGATCAATTCAACTCCCAGTAAATAAAATAAAAACTGTCTCGTGACGTGTGAATAATCTCTATGCGATCCTTCGTTGATATAAAGTAGTACAGATCAATGATTCGCGGTTCTCTTCCTTAAAATCGGCCATCACGAGACATACGTATATACTTTTCCCTAAAAATCTCGCTTGTTTCATCGGTCGAGTCTCCAGCTCGGGAGATCGTAAAAAGAAAAGATGCATGCGTCGACACTGTCGTTTGAAATTCGTCAAAGCGTGTCGTCGAGAACGCGGACGAATGGAGAGGCGGAGATACGTGACCGATTGTTTCAAGGGCATGGAGCGATACGTCGGCCAGTTCTCTCTGAAAGTTCGAAAAATATATGAAAGTCCACGGAGAGAAGAGGAACAATAGCCGATGCATCTTTTATTTGCGCGGAGCGCGTGTCAAGGCTAGGCGATTCTCGACGCCTCTTCTCTCTCTCTCTCTCTCTCTCTCTCTCTCTCTCTCTCTCTCTCTCTCTCTCTGTCTCTGTGTTCCGATTCGACAAAGCGACCGGTATGCAGTTTTTTGTTTCACGCCAACAGGCACACAGAGGGATGAGACAAATGTTACTACGTATGCAACGTGTGCTCACTGTATAAAGGATACATGCAAATTAGCCGAGTTGGCTGTCACTCTTATCAACTGTTCCCGTTCGACTTCGCGAATGTTTCCTTGTAACGTGTTCTCGCTGCGACTTGCGACTTTACTTGGAAACCGGTCGTTAAACTGGCGCTCAACCACCTTGTCAACTCGTGTTTTCCACATTTTTCACTGTCTCGCTTGTGTGTCTCAAACTTGACGGACGTGCTTTCGAATTTCTTTTTAGCAGATCACGAACCGTTTGATACTCGGACTGCAGGAGAAATAGCAATCTGTTCTAACACTCTACCAAACGGTCAGAATAAACTACCAAAATGGTCAAAATGGCTATTAATTTTTTTTTTTTAGAAATTTTACAATTGCACTGCAACTACCAAAAACGGTCAGAATGGCCAAA